TGCCGTATCTACATAAGGATTCTGCTTGCTTATAAAAACTACAATAGCCTTCGACTGTAATGATTAAACAACAGAGAGAATTTTTACATGGATCCAATGAGTCGATTTTTATCATCATTATACACGTTAGCTAGAGGTGGGAAACACCTCAGCTACTGTGCCGCAATACATAAACGAAAAAAGAGAAATGCAACCGATGCAAGCCAGCTGCGCTAACATTAACGGATGGGTATCGTTCCGGTAAGCTATTAGCCGGCTAATATGCAGAAAAAATTTAAAATGCAAAATTATATAAGGCTAAGTAGTAAGATCCTATTTGAGGGTTAGATCAAGAGGGATGGGTAGGGATAAAGAAACACAGCACGAACGCCAATGAGGTCGGCTCCTAGCCATATCAACAAGTGTATCCAGCCAAACGTGTTCATTGTCTTCCGGACCCCAAACTAGGAGCGGAGGCCGGGTTCAAAGTAATGGCCTTCATTCCTCTCGACCAAGTCATCGCTTGGCCACCTCTCCTCTTCTTCCAACCACACCCGCGGCACGCAAACAACGCACGTCAAAGCAGCTGGGGGCTGGCATGCGCAACACGTGGCCCAGCCATCGGAGCTTGGTGAGTGAAATGACGGTGCTGAGCGGTTCATTTCCTTTTCCAGTGCCGTAAACCAGGCGTCGAACACGCTCGTTGCTTACGCGGTGTTACCATCATGTGTGAGCCAAATTGCGAATGCACCGATTTTCGGATATAACTAGCCTCTTTACGTTCGATGATATAAGAGGACAAGTTTCACAACTGTAAAGTGGGGCCGAACGTACCGCAGCGTTGTTTACTCTACTCTTCAGGGCGAGAGTGATGTCGCGTTACCGCCATAAGTGGCAAATGTTAGCAAAAGCGCCTCGAGCTTTTGCTATACGGTTCGTGATCTCATCTTTAATCCCACGGGCGCTGATACAACTTCCCAGGTAGTTGAATTTTTGTACCACTTCTAGCTGATCCCCACCAAGGGTCAGCGAAGGAGGCGGTCCAGACCAATCTTAGAGGAACACTTTGCACTTCGATGGTGCAAAGCTAAGCCCGAACGGACGGACAGTCAGTGCTAATCTGTCCAGTGCCGCTTGGCTCGTCTAGGTGCTGTCAAAGATTAGGGCAATTTCGTCAGCATACTCCAAGGAAAGCAGTCGTTCTCCTGGGAGCAGATTCACACCTTCTAGGTCGAGTCCTGTGAACGCGATTTCCATGACATCGTCAATAGCGAAGTTGAAGAGGAAAGGTGACAGCGGGCATCCTTGTCTCACACCGCTGGAGATATTAAAGAGCGATGACAGCTTGCCGTAAGCCCTCACTCTTCCTGAGCTACCCGCGTATAATGCTCGGATAATATTTACATATTTCTCAGGTACACATTTCCTGAGTAGACACTCCCAAAGTGCATGTCTGTACACCGGATCGAGTGTAACTTTGATATTGAGGAACAAGACAACGGTGGGCCGTCAATATATGTGACGGTGCTCCATCAACTGACGCAAAGTGAAGTGGTGGTCAATGCAGCCACGACCTCGACGAAACCCGGCTTGCTCTTCACGAATATGGCTTTCACGATTGCCTGTCAGTCTGTGAATGATGTCAGCGACAAGTAATTTGGAGGCGATGGAGATCAGACTGATTCCTCTATGGTTGTCGCACTCCGATCGTGAGCATCCCTAGAAAATTGGGGCTATGACGGAGCGGCTCCAGTCGGTTGAGACAGTTTCCTGCTCCCACAGTTTCACTAGTAACTGGTATAATCATCCACAAGAGCAGGTACTCCAAATTCGACGAGGGCTGGAGGTAGTCATCTGGTCACACGGCTTTATTTAATTTCAGCAGTGCGATCTCACGTTCGACTTCTGAGCGAGAGGGTGGATCCAAATGGACATCCCAGGTAGCGGGGCGGTCAGTGACCGGCGAGAAATCTAACACTTCCGACCGATTAAATTGCTTTTCATAGTTCTCAGCCCAACGCTCCAAGCGTTTCGACAAGTTGTCGATAGGCTGTCCACTTTCGTCACGTATAATTTCACTAACACCAGGTCTTCTGCTGCCCGTTTCCCGTATCAGCCGGAATAACTTACGATGGTTACTAAGGGCAGCGGCAATTTCCGTTTCTGATGCACGATGAAACCACCAGGATTAGCGGTCTCTCTTCAGGCTAACACGGAGTTTTGTCCGGAGCTCTTTGCGGGTTTCATTTTGTTCTCTTCCAGCCGGAATATGCCGGCGAATATCGATAAGTTCCAGATACTGCGAAGTGACCCAAATTCCATGTTGGCGTTTAGACTTTCCACATGAGGATTTGCCTGTTGCTAGCAAGGTATGATAAACGTGAGACCAGTGGGCTACAATTGCATCAAATGAGCGCAAACTCAACTCGCATGTCAGCGTATTTTGATAGTCAATCAATGCAGCTGGCTTCGCCAGTTGGCTGATGTCTATGCAGTCACAACCTCGTCGTGTGCATCCGCCAAGATCCACTGAGTGGTCTCAGATTGTTTCGGTTGAACTCTTGCAAATTTACGGGAGATGTGGAAAAAACATTCACAAACATTAGAGTCCTTGTTAGCGTAAAAACTACAGATACATTCCATATAACAAGGTCGGAACACCTTCGTAGACATGTTTTTCATCACAAACGCCGGAGCTGCACAGTGTATTTATAGATAATTTGATTCCACAATCACTTAGTACGTAGCTGCACTATACTTCAGTCAGCTTTGTTGGAATGTGACACGGCAGAGTTCTTCTGAAGAATCCTGGACTCTCGCTGTTTTAAAATTATCCCAATGGAATGGGTGTTGTAATTAGCCACCCCAGATAAAGAACTGGTGTCTTAAGCAGCTACAGTAGATTACCAGGAATTCATAATACTCACATAGCGCTGTGTTTATAGAAATAAAATGGTTTGACAAAATTCAAGTACCTTTTGCCATGGCCGGCTTTTTGATATAGGGACCAGTACTTTTATTGGTGGATGTCTGTATTATCTCTCTCAACCTACCAGATTATAGTGCACACAGATTTTACAGCAAATTTGACATAAACGCAGCGAGGTGATTTCCAAATGCAATCGTGTGCGCAGGCTCACTGTGTGTGTTGGGTAACAGCTGTATCCGGGTGGAAACAGAATCATCAATATCTACTGCACAAAATGCTTAATCTGGACGCAAATGCGGTGAAGTGTAGAACAAATAGAACTTAGACATAGCAACAAATGAGCATTCTGTAGTTCACCTCGTTTATTCAGCTTGATGCTTGCTGTTCGCCCTGTCACAAAATATACGGCAGAGTAAAAACAGTTAGCTAATGGCTGTGGTCTGGTTATGTCGTTTGAAACAGAACTTATGCTTTGGTTATACGACATAAGACGGTACTCAGTTTTGTGTTAAATTAAAAGCCATTGCTTGAGTAAACTTCCCAAATTGCGTCAAATTGCGGTGTTATTTTGTGTGATGTAAACGGTAGTAGCTATTACTGGTAGGGGTAACGAAGTCTGTAGATAGATTAAGCGATCATTTCAGCTTAAATACCTTCGGCTAATTCAGCAAGGCCATAGATTAGTAAGTAATGCATTGCAATTTTTGGAATATATTATTGCTTCCTATGTGCATGAACCGCTCCACCTTTTTAAATCCATATCCTCACGAACAAATTTGGCTTTGATATTTTTCACTAACATATGCGACCACATAATAAATAGGGATGATGTTGTTGTTCTCATGCATGAACTGCTTTCGTACCTACTCGAAGGGATTGCAGCACCATCGTTCGTATTATAAGCAGAGAGTATCTTGAACTCGTCTACCTGAAGGAGAGCTCACTTCCTTATATTGATTGAATTGTTTGCCTATCTACATTCGGTCTTGCTACACCCATATATATCTGAGTGATATGCTAGCGCGATAAAATTTTTGTCCAAAAATACATCATGCTAAATTAATTGCTTAAATTATTTTTCTTTTTCATTTTTTATTAAGAATTGCTGCCACTTTTACAGAGGCGGAGCCAGTTTACAACGAATCTAGAAAACACACGTTTGATGGCAGCAATTCAAAATAATAATGTGTGGACCGTATCGTGCCAACAGTCGGACATATGCCATCTCAATAGAAGAAAACTCCCTACAAAGCGATATCTACATCTTAAAATTAAGCCTTGACTCATGATTAATCAAAGATATAATCCCCTAGATGCCAGTAAAATGCATGGACCTGCTGCCTGGTTCTATTGTTTATCTCTCTTTGCCAATGTGTTACAAACCGTAAGTGTTAGCAACTCCGAAAGCTATATTCTGAAAACTATCGTACTTTCTCGGTATACATAGGTAGTTGGTGAAAGGATTTGGACACAAATCATTAGCAGTTTTGTCCACGGCTACGGTAACAAAACTCGCACCAACGTTTGTTCGGCTAACCAGCGATTCAGCTCCGGCTATCTGAGCCTCATTGGTACCGGTGAATGGAAAAGCGCTGTCACGTGGCTGAGTGGTTACGTAGAACTCGGCGACGAATATTACACGAAACGAGGTGCCAACAGTGCCGTTCGATTGGAGCAATCTAAACTAGTAAAAATATAAGCCTCAACATTATAGCTTGTAGTCGGCTAAATGACTGAAATTTTTGTAATAATCTTACACGAATACTTTACATCAGGGAGGCGTTTACAATTAGATCTCCTATTCGTTTTAAAATGAAAGTAGACATTGCTATTAACTTGACGTCAAATGAGCCTGATGGGACAGACTGCACTTTGTAGAGTTTGGTCAACGCGTATTTTTGGCCCTACTCGTTACAGCCTTAGCCAAGCAGTGTGTCAAGAAGCCAAAAATCATTCCACTTACCCAGCGACTACAACTAACTATATTCAGCACTGAAGGTTTGATGGATTTTCACACAAGATCTTTGAAGTTCTAGGGAAGAACCCATCAAAATTTGACCAGCATACGCAAGTGCGTTTGTTTTTATTACAGATCAAATTGGTAGTACTTATATCGGAGTTTACAACCCTAACTTGAGAAGTGACCAGTTTTGCCATCAAACTGTCAAAAATCGGTGGAAAAGAGGTTTACAACTGTCAAAGGCATTACGTCAAATATGTCGCTCAATACCATACGAAACTGCGTCTCGCCTCCACTCCCGTAAATGCGCAACTGACTTGATCCTAACCAATAACAATCAATTCCGGGATGACGTTTGTGCGAATCACCTCGAGCATGCTAAAATTACTGTGCGGATTCAAAGCCTCAAATGCATATGGCAAACGGAACTGACAATGACCAACAACATTCAAAATAGCAGGCGAGCCGATGACTCACAACAACAATGCTTGGAAGAAGCCATTGCAACAGCCACAAAGCTGCAACATCGAAGCGTTTTGCGGACGTTCGGAATTTGGTGGCGAAACTTTTCATGCCCAATGCTGGTAACCGAATGGCTTGCATATGGGAGGTTGGATATCTATCTGGACAACGTGAGATTACCGAAAATTCGGCATTCTAAATACGCTTTAATCGTTTTTCTGTTAAATCTGAGGTCGTTTTGACTCGCATGAAATTTTTCCAATTGTCATTGCGCATTCACTTCCTTCAAACGAGCCATATTATTGAGTCTTTCGATGTAATATAGTTAACTGTTTAGGGATGACTCACTGTCCACTGTTTGGGTACAAAACCAAAGTTTCCGTTTGAATCAATTGGTACTTTTATTGTTGGTTTGAATGACCGCCTTAATTGATGTCCAGCAAGATGGCACTTTTAACCTTGGAACAAAATAGGCAGCTTGTACTTCAATCTACTCACCTTACTGTAGTATACTTAGTTACGATACCTAAACTCAAAATAAGTAAATAATCTAAGAACGGAAAAGAGGGCATTTTACAGGTTATTCTTGAGCAGAAAACTAAGTCGCTTAATTTATTCCGGCTGTCAAATGCTCCCTTTTAGCCTGAGAGATAGACATCGACATGAATTCAGTTATTAATTCTCATTATTTACTAGGAGTATAAGGTGCATACGTAGCCACTGCACTTGATGTTATATGTTCTTCAAATAACAATTAACTGACCCTATGGCCGTATGAACGTCATTGCTCTCAAGACTATTTCCAATTGTGATGAAACCTAGGGAAATATTATTAAAATCCTAATAATGCTCTAAGTTTATCATGCAATTATTCTTTAATATCATTTGTAGCTGGAATCAATAGAGTAGAAAAATTAATCTTTGCTTGTTAACCTCATCAGATAATTTATGTTCCCTAATTTTGTCATATTTCTACCTCTGCTTATGCCTACTTCAAGTTATTAGACGGCTACTGCAGAACCCATGAGGTTACGCCAACTTCTGATCTACGACACGGCTTCGGCAAGGAAACGCATGCCTTCCTAAACGCATCGGTAATCGCTAGCATGCTGCTCGACATCGCGAGTGGACTGGAATATTTGTTCGAAAGAGGTTTAACCTATGAAGTATGTTGTATCCATATTGTAACATCTAAAATTATTCCATAGCTGTTGCTTTTGTAATTAAATGTTAACTGCCGTCATGTTGAGAGGATCTCGGTAGCTATTCCCATACCACCTTCTGCACGCTTGCATCCAACATTTAGCGCGAAGGTCCTAAGCCCCTAATGTATCGACTGGTTGTTCAGCTATGATAATATTCACAAGCCTGAACCAACTGAAAATATAAAGGTGTTCCACTTTTTTAAGTGATATGCAGACAGCGATGTTCATCGACTTTAAGTTCTGGTATTCAGAGCGGCCAGCATGCAAAAACCGGGTATTTGAGCGACTCGGCCGAGTCCAAAGAAAACGACGGCTTGTACATTGTCACCTGGAGAGAAAATATCTTTCCAATATCCTGTTTATCTGGACCCTGCACATGAATCCAGCAGTCCTTCATGAGCCCGTATAAACTTTGCTACTAACATAAATAACCTAGGATGGAAGCTGACAAATGCTTAAACCACTGATGCGTTGCCGTTCTTTTCCAGGGAACGAAACGTTAAACTTAGAACACCATTTATACAAGCAGAACAATCATTGACACAGCCATGTACTGCTTGTTCTTAGTTAGTCTTTCTAAGTATAGAATTATACAGTACATTAGTAAGATAATAAAATTTTAATTGTACTTACATGCCAGCGACTGGAACTAAAGCATATTCCCTGAGCAACTCGACAAACGAATAAGGAATAAGTCCACCGGCTGAGTTGCACCATCTCAGATTCACACATTACGTGAACGCCTGTATGGATGGTGAAGTCTAGTCAGTCAACTCATGCGCTGTTCATCTTTCACTGTCTTCAAATTGAATAAACACTGCTTTTCTTTAGTAAAAAATAAATAAATAACTTTATATTCTCGGTGTTGCACGAGGCACGCCAATAAGGCATGATCAGAATATGTACAAACGAATCTGCGACGATCAAAATGTAAACAATTTTGGTCTTGACTTTGGGAGTGAGCGGCTGAGTGAGTTCCAAAAATGATATACGGTTGTGATAACTGTTCGAACTCACAGTGGATTCAGTCTAGAAATAGATTGTTGATACAAATGCAAAAATTGTTAATACTGACGTAATATGATACTAGAATTTGCCCCAAGTAAACGTTGTTCTGGCCTGAAGCTGATCGATTGCGCTGTTAATCGCAGTCGTCTGATATGCATTTTCCATCCTCTGGCGTATGATGCGTTCTCCTATGGCCGCACTGGGTTTCAATCCTGTCTAGTTGCGCGATGTCTTCTGTAGGAGGTTAACTATCAAAGTCACTAAATTTTGGGCCATCCAGTTGTTGAAGAGTTGATCAATGCCAGAAGAAGTATCTGTGAGAAACTTGGAAGTTGACGCAACGGTGGAAATGGGCAAAAGACAATCAGTTTACTTTTAACGTTTAGCTTATGAAACAGGGTTACAAATCTAATAAACTTACGTGGTACCGAAGGTAGGAGCGCACATTCAAACACGATTGTTTGGAGCTGATAAGATCTGCCTTGCGTACATGCTTGTCAAGATAGGACATCATTCCATGCTCTTGGCGTATATAAAAATTAATCCCAAGCTTAGAACTTCCGTTCAATGTTTAAAAATGTTCATAAGCATGATCTGTCACATAGACGATTGGGAACATGTTGTCTTAGGATAAACCATCAATGAACACCCCCTTATTCTAAAAACGAATACTGCGACACTTCAACGGAAATGTATCCTGTCAGTTAGCGACTCTCTTAGTGTGGGTATATCGCAGCATGTATTAGCTACAAAATACGGAACGATCATTTCGATGTGTTTTAACCAGTTTAGCCCAATGTTAGTTAGTTTTCTGTAAGCGACTTAAGTCAACACTGCATGTATACACTTATGAAGCAGTGGACGTTTCTGTTAGTTGGAATCTTGGTTGCTAAATGACCCTCGACGACAAACAGTTTCTACTAACGTTGCAACTGTGAAAGTATTCCATGCGGATTGTCCTTGTTGTATGGAACCTCCTCACATCGTAGCTGATAGTTCAGTTTATGGAAGTAGTACATTTATTTATTCATTTATTCATGCATTTGCTTCTTTACTTGTTTGTTAGTTACTCTTTGCCCAACAAAAGTTTGTACTCATTTCGATTTAGATATGAAGTGGATGCTCAAGAAATTCAGCTGCACCTTAGATACTTGCATCCGTTGAATACGGAGGCAAACTGGTTTTCTACGCAAAATCGTACCTAGTCTTTTTCATTTCATCCGTGTCATATACTGAAAACTAAGGCACGCGTTCGCGCCACCCCGCTGACCGCACAGTGCCAGAAAACCTGCAATAATGACCAGTTACTGCATGTTCCGTGTTAGACAAGTACTTAATGATGGCGGCTAGCATTACCACAGCTATGCTACATAAGATAACGTGTTGAATTATTATCTAGTGACGTAACAATGACATAGCGAACAGGAGCGCTCTGCATAATGTATAGGCGATGGACAGCCGCACTTCGAAAACAACGTGTCGACTCTTCGCTGTGACGCGAACACCACTGATGATGCTTGGGTTTGTTCCACCGCGAAGTCGCTTAATCCCACGCGGATTCGCACCGGGGACTTACGTATCATAAGAGAAATGCCTTATCCTTTCGTTCTCAGTTCGCCCTAAGTAGTGGGAAACCAGCACGTGTCTTGGTCTAACATTGGGCTTCAAAGCTGAAGTATTAATTTGTGGTCTAAACGTGAGTTGGTAGTGCGAAGCGAAAAGTGCAATATGCACCAGTACATAACCACAGTTTAGACCCTCGAGCAATTCGCATATTTATCATAGGTTTATCGATGGTGCGCATAATTTGTGAGTTATCTGTGTGTCTCTGAGAATGTTGACCACAACCTATCAAATTTGCATACTACGAACTCCATAGGTTGGACAATGACAAGGTACTACATTACCTAGACACCGAATGATTTTTCTTATTTTGCTTACCACAGCCTGGAGGTCAGGCATGTTAAAACCTTTGCGAACTTTTAAAAACATCAGCTAGCGGCCCGTATTTTCGTGTCTCTTATCCTTTATCTAAATACCTGACAACTTATTCTCTCGTGAAACTATCAAATATTTGAGGCTTATACGACGCCAGAATCCATTTCGTCTCTTTATCCTATAAAATTGTAAAATTTATTGCAGAACTTTAAGCGTTATTGAAAACGTCAACATATCGAACAAACCATTGTCATCCCACAAAGCAAAAATATTTGATGTCATATTTGAACATGGTCCGACGATTACAGTGGTCCCCAGATGTTTGAAAATGCGACAAATCCTCCTAAGGCTGTCACATGTTGAAGTGGGGAGCGCGTACATATGACAAGTTGCATGATTGGTCAAACATTATATGTAGCTGCGCGGAAAGTCCAACAGGCCGAAGTCACCCCACTGGTAGTAGCTTGTTGAGGGGGTGTACAAATAATGCTAATCTTAGAAGATGTTTCCGTTTTCTGATGCGCTTTAAATCGTGGCGGAATTTCAATTCAAAACAGAAGACATGCATAATTGCAGTTTCCAGTTAGCAAGATAGCACGCACCTTTTTAATTAACCAATGGAGATTTCCTGCCGCTTGATAATAAAAGTAAAGGAAATTGAAGACAAAATCCAACAGTTCTATTGTTACAGGTCTGCACAGCCCTGCAAAACACAGACGCGTTCCAATGGGGACAGGAAACCGCAGGCCCCAACAACAAACCCGGGATTTACACGCGCCATTACACTGCGTGCCGGCACAACACGGTCGCTATGCAGAGGCGCAAGTTAATCAGTTCAGAGCGGATCTCTCCCTACGGAAACTGCCGCCAAGAGTCCAATCAACTGCACAATTCTCAACGAAGTTGTCCTCAGTGAGAACACGGCCAACGTATTCCGCACGGTTTCTACTGCACTAGCCCCAGTCTCAATATGGCATCTCCCGGACTCTCTTCAAGTCACCCGTCCGTCTGCTGAGCCGTGTTCATGTCACTTCCTTATCCACCAAGCACACTCAACAACTCTGCTGTGCCAAACGTCTCAACACCATCGAATCCACCCATCTCTGCGCGGGGATAGGATCAACACATGGCAACTCATGTGCCAACAAACATACACTAAGTTTATACCAGTAATACTGTCTTAATGAACTATAATTAGAAAGAAGCAGAAAGCACGGTTGCGTTGGTTGAGTCAGTAAAGTACTCTTACTACTGGTCAGTCTTCTTTCTGCGGGTCTCGGTACAGTCATGCGGCCTACACGCGTTCCGTCTACCTTAAGAGTTACTAGTTCACCTCGGTCGGCTAAGTCCACTAGCTGTTCTAATATGAATCGTCAAGGCTACTCTACGTGTGGGAAACAACGAACGAAGCATTTGTCCATTCCGACTTGGACAGCCCAAACCCAACCAGGACGTTTGCGGCAAATAGATATTTTTCCGTTTCCAAAACCTCTGTAATATATTATATTAACCAGGGCCTTGTCAAAATCCTTGAAAAAATCGTGTCCTACCTTCTTCAGTTTCTTAAAATTGGTTTCTGCTTAACCACCTTCACTGCGTATCGTGTGGTTTTGCTCGTTCCTACAAACTGCTTATGTTTAACTTTTGCAGAAATATGTCTTTGTTTTAACACATTTTCTGCAGCATCTATGACATTTCACCCCGCTCGTTAATCTGCTGTAATTGTGACAGAGGAGCACAAGCTTTACCTATTCAGTTTTCTGTTATTTTCGTTCCGTTGAAGAAAACTCCAGAATAGTTAAGCTAACCTATATCACTTTTGATCAATCTGCTTGTCGTGAAACGATGGAAGATGCCTGATTGAAAGAAGGTCCACGGGTCTTAGTTCCCAACATTTCACTTTACCTAGTAGATTGATAGTTATTTACCTTTGGGTGTGTTTGGTTAGGTAACCTTACTTTTGTGTGTGCTGGGCGCAGTCATAAATACTCTGATTCCTGTTTCTACAAAGTAATTTTCCTAATTTTCCTCCTGGTTGGTTGTGCAGATTCTTAAGT